CCCCCAAAAAATAAAATTATGTTTGTTTTTAAAAAATATTTTTAATTTCAATTTTTTATTTCTTTACCCCATCTCACCCCCCTCCGCGCCAGCCCCACCATCCCACCCTTCCCAAAAAAAAATTAAGTTTATTTTAAGAAAATATTTTCAATTTCAATTCAAAAATTATTTTCTACTCTCTAGTAAAAATAAAAGATATTTTCTCAAAAATAATTTTCATTCATAAATCAAACACTAAAAAATCTTTTTCGGAAAATATTTTCTAGTCACCAACCAAACATGAGAAAATAAGTCAAAAATCTACTTGTTTTCTAGGAAAACATTTTCCGTGGAAAACATTTTCGTTTGTACCAAACACACCCTAAAGTCTACTATCTCAACAAACCTGTTTTTGTTTGTTAACTACTACTTACTACTAACAACTATATTACTTAAAAGTCTGATTCGATTGGATTTTTTTTTTAAAAAAGTTTAGTTATTAGTATATTTTGATTTGGTGACTTTTGGATACGCAAAAATTGTAAGTTATTGTAGTAAGTAGGTGTTTTGGTTATTTTAGTGTTTCTACCTTCATCCCTACTTGTTAAACATACGATTGAATAATCAATATAGTCACCATATGATTACGTAATTCACTAATAATATTACAAAGTCGTCTAAGCAATTACATATGGTAGCTAGAATCAGAGATCGATTCAAGATTTGAAATTTATAGATTTTAAATTCTAATCTATTAAATTTGTTGAGTTCTAGAATTTTTACTTTATTTATATTACATGAATTATTTAAGTCAAATACAAAATCGTACCATAAACACCTTAATAGTACATACTAAAACCTCTCACTGTGAATTCTATTCTAGTTGTACATACAAGAGTGTTTTCATACGATAATTGAGTTTGATTCTCATATTCTTTCTTCAATTTTCTCTCCAAATCTCCTTATTTAATTAAAAAGTTTCTCAAAAAAAAAAAACAGACACATGTGGAAATTTTTTTAGTAGAAATAAGGTAAAAATAAATGGTACTCTCTAAAAAGTATGGGTTCATAAGATTTTTTTTTTTAAATTTCTTATTCAGTGTCTAGTACTCGCATTTAATTTCAATTAAATTCAGATTCATGTCGGTAAGTCCCATATTGGGGAGTAAAATCTTTCCCTAACAAAGACGATTTCATATTCAAAAAAACTTGATTTTGATACCTCTTGTTACAAATGAATAAGTATTTATCATTTCATCATTATTAAGATCTGGTAAAGGGAGTGTGTGGTAGATCTGCAATTTAAAGTTAAAATAAAAATGCCAACTTGTCAAACACAAGCTTCGTCACGTCTGAACAAAAAAAATAAAAATTCACCAATTGAAAAAACATAAAATAAATAAAAAAGAGCAAGTCTTTTCACTTATTTGACCTAATTTTTTTAAAGAATCCAACACGCTAAATTCCGCGTCAGTCGGAAATTAAAAAATAAATCATTGCAAAACATTAAAGAAAGTAAAAAAAATAAAGAAGAGGGTAGCACCTTTGGGTACTATCAGAATTCAATTTTTATACTAAATATTTAAGAAATAATATTAATAATTAATTAAGGAGGATGAGAATAACTAAATTATTTAGCTTAATTCATAAGTAGTAGACGGCGATTATGAATTTTCTTTAATAAAAAATATGTTAACATGCACAGCGCATTGATTTGATGCTAATTGCTATTTTAAGTAATTGATTAGTGGATGAAATTATAATTGGCAACCCAAACTAATGACTATTTCTGTGTTATTGTTTTTTAAGTAGGACTTTGACAATTTATAATTTATAGCTGGCAATCTCTTAATTACTTACTTCTTATTAAATTAAACTTACTATTTCTAATTTGTAAATAGAAAATTAATATGTGTAAAGTCAATTTCGAATAACATATTAAAATATAAAGCTAATTATAAGAAGTATAATCTAGACTTCTCGAATAATTAATGAGTACTTTTAAAAAAAAATCTGAGACTGTCTTTTTTTAATTTTTTTTTTTTTTTTTGTTATGATGGGTGGTTTATTCATTTTGTTGTCGGCAACACGTTCTTACTACTTCAACATCAATCATATATATCCAGCAGGTTTTAGTACACTTATACATGTTCCTTTTAATGCTGTCTATTTTGTTTATCTCATTATTATTTTTTTACAAAATATGTAAAAATTAATTACTTCCTCTATTTCCAAGTTATATGGAGAGGTGTCATAGATAAGTTGGACTGAATTTGAGCAGGTTAAAATTGATTGAGTTGATAAATAGTTAGATTATTGATTCCGTTTAAAAGTTACTTGGATCGAAATGGACTACAACATCGATCGCAGCTTAACCCCTCAATTTCTACTAAATTTTTCCGGCTTTATTTGTATTTTTATAATTTTTAGTACCTAATAAACTATATTTCTTTGTTACGTCTTTTTAAAAATAAATTTCTTATCAATTAATTGAGCTACATACTATCAC